TGACAACTGCCCAATTAARGCTTAATGTTGAAGGCGAGAAAGGGGTGTACTTCTTTGAGAAGGAATCWGCAGTTGGAGTTTTAATGCATGGAGAAATGGCCACAATAAATACTAGCCTGATTAAGAGGATAGTGACATATTTCAAGGGGTTTGCTCTGGCAGTTGTTCCTATTAGCACARTAGGTGTCCTTACTTAACGTCTTTGTTATTCTATTTTGTCAGTATTGATGCCGAAATACATGCCGGGCTTTATTTGATAAGAAGAAAACAAGAAAAGAAAACAAGAAAAAAACAAGAAAACAAGAAAACATTTTTGTTGCAATCAGTTTCAATTTTCAGAGTTTAAACAACTATCCCTTCTTTTCCAGGATGTAGAGGATGGTACTATCAAGAAGTTTATGATGACACTGCATTCTATGAATGTAAGCCACATGGACTTTTATCATGTCGTATTCATTCTAGAGGTTTCAACCAAGCCTAACGAAACAGAGCGAATTAGAGCGTTGATGAAACAGATGACTAGAACAGAAATCGCGTACTGCATTATGGAGTCAGAGAACAAAAGACGTAAGATGATGAATACTTAGTTTATAAAATTAATAACACAAATGGTAACGATAATGATAATAATAAGTTGGGAAAAAAAGGTTTTTTACAGTGTTAGATTTATTTTCAGTATACGCAACTATTTCATTAGAAACACTGACGCAGCTAACACTAGTTTACCGCTTATTAAATATATAGTATGTTTTATATAGTGCACAAGCTCTTCCTCTCGATCTCGTTGTCTAATTGTTTGTAATAGATGAAGGACTTCTTGAAAATATTGTAGCACCAATGCTCATTGGACAGTGGTCCCGAAGTGGCAAAGTGTATGAAATTAATACTACCTCAAAAGAATTCGACAAGCTAAATTGCTTCCAAGTGAAAACGGCCAGCAAAAAGCTGGTCAACATTTTCACTTTGAAAGGACAATGGGTCCTAGACATGTTCTCACAGAACAAAAATGGTAAACTGGATTGATGTTGTTGTTTTTTCTTCTGTCCCATTAGAATAAGAGTTTTTTTAAGATGTATATTTAAATTTTGAACCTCTATCCTCCTGACCTAAAAAAATGACCTTCTCTACGAGTAATGCTTTTAAAAATTCTTGTAGTCGATATTGGGGTAAACTGACATGTCAATCACATGACTCACATAGTCCACCCGTCCCAAGATCAGGTCAAAAAGTCCGAGCCACACTCAGCGCTCTCTACTTTCGCACTGTTACTACTCGTAGTTTCGTGTGTGTTTTTTTGAATTTGATTTAGTTCAAATCTTTATTGTTCATCACCAGTTTTGTTTGCACTTTTAGTATCACTGATGTCGTCTGCATTGGAGGAAGAGAGGAATGTTGTTGCAATTAGCAACAATACAAGAGAGGCAAGCCGGCTCATGCGAAGAGAATTGATGATTGCGGAATCGAGTGACGATGAGACCCAAGATGAAGAAAGCCAAGAAGTAGAGGAAACTGAATCAGATCAAGTTTCTTCTATGGAACTAAGAGAAAATTTTGTGCAAAACATTGGAGCCTTGCACAAAGCACTGCAATAAATTCATAATTCCGACAAATCAAACGCGTCATTCGCGCCCGCGGGATTGGCCAATCAGAATAGAGGACACGTAATGGCACACATTGTTCCACAAAAAATGTAAACAAAGTCGGATCGGAGAGCGAAGTTGAGATAGTTTTGAGCTGTTGCTGTTGTGTAAAGCAGATGAGCGCTATCCAGCTAGGCTAAATGGGATGATGCATTCTGTTACACAAGTTAAAAACTAATCTAAAAAAAATGCTTGAAATGGATCTGGAAATGTGCGGACAAAAGCACGAAGCGCTACATGTTAACGCATAATAATGAAATCATTTGTTTAGGAGTTTCTCAAAAAAACTTAACAATTAGAAACAGAAATATTATCGGGAATTTTAYTGACAAATCGCCGGAAGACTGTAATTTACGAAAACTCGAATGCATTTATGGGACAACCCGGACAAGCGCGGATTCACGCGCTTTCTTCTGATTTTGTTAAGCGCACGTTCGCTCTTGATTTCTTTATTCAATGTTATGAACGATGCTACATAATTAATTAACTTTTATGTTTATAAAGAGGATAACCTATAAACGTTGAAAAATTCCAAATGGCAAAAACAAGACAAGTTTCCATATTACGTTATAAATGTATATATTCGCCAACTCGCGTATGCGTTGTTTCATTGAGCGCACTAACTTCAAACTCTTGTTGGATACAAATTAACGAAGTTTTTGTGAGGTCTGATCAGATTTCACGTAAATTTATGTTTTTGTGATGTCTGATCAGATTTCACATAAATTTATGTTTTTGTGAGGTCTGATCAGATTTCACATAAATTTATGTTTTTGTGA